GAGACAAATGAACAGAAATGCTGCATGGCCAGCGGAAAAGGGCGGACGCCCGCAGTGCAGGCACCGAACCTGGGAGACAAAAGTCAAGAAATCACCTGGGAGACAAATGAATAGAAATGCCGCGTGGCCAGCGGAAAAGGGCGCACACCAGCAGTGCAGGCACCGAACCTGGGAGACAAAAGTAAAGAAATCACATGGGAGACAATTGAACAGAAATGCTGCGTGGCCAGCGGAAAAGGGCGCACACCGGCGGTGCAGGCACCAAACCTGGGAGACAAAAGTAAAGAAATCACTTGGGAGACAAATGAACAGAAATGCTGCGTGGCCAGCGGAAAAGGGAAATCACTTGAAAGACACATGAACAGAAATGCTGCGTGGCCAGCGGACAAGGGCGCACACCGGCGGTGCAGGCACCAAACCTGGGAGACAAAAGTAAAGAAATCACTTGGGAGACAAATGAAAAGAAATGCTGCATGGCCAGCGGAAAAGGGCGGACACCGTGACAGAAAGGGCGGACACATCTTAAGAATGAATTGAGAATTCCCAACTCTGGTGGAGATCAAGAAGGCCGCGGAAGAAGCATTCACTTGGCTTCAGTCGACTGATGCCATCAAGCGGGCCGCTTCATCTCGAGCTTGGCTTCCCCGACTGGAGCTACTCGCTGAAGGATGTCAAGTGATGTTCTGGGAACCCGGCCCACAGAAGAGGACTATCACGTCGACATAGATTTGGACGCCTATCTTCGTCGCTCGAGAAGATGTCCAAACATACCTATGGACAAGGGTCGTGAAGAGCCAGAATAGTATTTGGCTCAGTAGGAGGCACCCACAAAGATGTCGGACACATTGGTGACCCTAAGTGCCCACATCAAGTCCACGGATGTATCGACTTGTCTCGCCGCATGTGTGAGCTGGCTCTTCATGCGATGCCCGAGGCGGCACCCCTGATGCCAACAGCCCCAGCAGAATCAGCGCCAAAGGCTGCAGGACCAACTTCCGCAGGGCCGGCTCCCAGCGTAGCGGAAAGAGTGGTGGAGCTTTCGCTAAAAGAGGTGGAGAATTACATCGTTGAGTATTGCACTTGCCAGCAGTGCTTGCTAGGCGACCCTGGCAAGGGGGTTCAAGATTCTGACACTCTCGAGTCATACGCTGCAGCTTTCAGAGCCATGGGCGTGTCTTCCCGAACTGAAGTCTTTGCGCTGCTCGCAAAGATCGAAGAGATCGATTACGACTTGGACGCAACTCCGCAATATGTTCCAACAGGAGGAGTGCTTCAAACTCTCTCGCTCTAGCGGGCAGTGCTGGTTTTTCCATTGGTGCAGCGAGCTCAGATAGCCAGCGATACAGGTACCCGGCAGCACTTCAGCTGATCTTGAATGGCGCTCCGGAAAAAACTGTGCAAAACCCAATCTCCAAAAGGACAAAATCTTCTTTGGAGGTATACGCTTTACATGAATCTCATGAGCACGAAACTCTCGACACTTGGGATAGATCGGGAGGGAGCGTGGGCGCTCGTTCAGGCAGACTTCACGGAGTATCGAGGAACTTCAAGGGATGTGCCTGAGATCACTTCGCTCATGATCGAAGCTGGAGGTGGTTGGAAATCATCCATCAAGAGAGTTTGGGTCCGGTACCGCAACAAGTTGAAGGGTCTTCCATTGGAGTTGGTCCGTTGGCCGTGGCTGACGAGCGGCATTTTTCTGACATTCTTTCTGGCGTCCTATTTGGCATATCTTCTGACTCGCGGTTGAGGTCCGGCGGGGGACGCTGCCATCCGACCCTTGCGTTGAGGAGGCGGAGGACGAGGAGGACGAGGAGGGAGGAGAGGAGGCGAGGAGCAAAAAGAGAGTGAATTCAGAAGTGTTTGGGCGTCTGTTGTACTCATATGTTCATTGGGTTTGCCAGTCTGGGTTGGTGTCCGCCTTGTGGCAACTCCTTAGCAGCAACTCTGTACATTTGTTTGGCTGGCATTCTGGCAACTCCATGGAAATTCCTTCGTAGCAGCTATATACATTGTCTCCCAGTCTGGGCTGGTGTGTGTGCTTTCAGGCAACTCCTGCACCCAACCCCTTGGTAGCAACCCTTTGCACGTGCCCAGTCTGAGCTACTGCACGCGCCTTTTCAGGCAACTCTTGCGTTTGCCTCATGGCAACTCCTTCGCAACAATTCTGCACGTTGGTGTGTCTGCCTTCTGACAGCTCCTGAGTAGCAATTCTACACATTTGTCTCGCAGTCTGGGCTGGTGTGTCCCTTCTGGGCTGCCTTTTGGCAACTTGTCAGTAGCAATTCTATATATTTGTTTGGGCTGGTGCGTGTGCCTTCAACTCCTTAACAACAATATATACTTTTGTCTCGCAGGCTGGGATTGTGTGTCCACCTTCTGGCAACTGAGTAGCAATTCTTTCCATTCGCCTCCCACTCTGGGCTACTGCCACCGCCTTCCGGCCACTCCCAGACAGCAAACGTTTCCATGTGTTTGATGCCCTCAGCCGGTAGTGTGTCCACCTTGTGACAACCCCTCCATGGCAACTTTGTACATTTTTCTCCCCGTTGGGAACTTAGCAGCAAATCTTTGCATATGTCCGTCTGCCTTCTGGCAACTCCTTGCTGGTAATTTGTGCATGTTTTTTAAAGCATTAGCCCACTCTGGGCTAGCGCGTCTGCCTTCTGGCAACTCCTTGGTAGAAAACCTTTGCGTTTTCCTGCCACCTTCTGGCAAACCCTCAATAACAATTCTCTATATTTGTCTCCCGGTCTGGGCTACTGCGTCCGCCTTCTGGCAAAGACAATTCCAATCATCATCTTTCAAGATGCAGATTTACAGCGGTCAACTGTTTGGGGTCTACGGTGCTGTAATGTTCAACAGAGTATGAAGGAGTCATCTCCAACATTCTTCGATGTTTTGAGATGTTCTCGTTTTTTTGTCAGAGTTGCTTTGTCCAAAAAAACATCTCCAATATCCGCGGGTAGGTCCCAAAAGGAACTCCGCTCGTCCGTGTGTTCAGGTCAACCTCGCTCAGCCTAGCGGGCCCAGTACGCAGCAGGCTTGGGGGGGCTAAGCCTGGAGCGCTGCCGGAGCATGGGGATGGGTCGTTCAACCTGGAGCCCGACCAGTCCACCACTAGGCCGCGAACGACTAATCCACCTGGGGGCGATCATGCCCAGTTCCCCACAGGCTGTTCGGACGCAACGCAGCGAGTCCAGTGACTGTGGGTTTTTGGGAAACCAAGGGTTCTGATTCTGGGACGGAAGGACCAATCCACATTGGTCCAAATGTGCTGTTGATTTGCCGTGTGACGTTCCAAAGACCCGCTTTGATTGATGGCCAAGAGAGTTTCATCTACAACCGATTTGAGCCAGTTCTTGCAATCACATGCGAAGATGCACCAGTTTTAGAGAAAATGCAGGGGACACCCCCAAAGCGGCCCCCAAGTCACTTTCCCCAAATTGCTGGTGATGGTATTTGGAGGTGTAAAAGCCTGAGGTCCTAGACCACACTGCAATGACAAGTTCTATGTGCTCGCAGGCACGTCCTCTCTATGATCCGCAGGCCGTTGCTTGGAACATCCGGGGCTGGTGGCACGCTGTGTTGAAAGCAGATTTGTCTTCCAATGAGATGACCCTGTCAACACAGGTCGCAAGGTGAAACCTTAAAACACAGATGATACTCAAAGAGCCCACACAGCTGCAGGGTAGCCGACCCTCATCCGCTTTGTGGATGTAGTCTTCATCCTTTGTTCTTCTTCAGGGTGGCTATTCGCGGAATATGCAACACCTCCAGGTTATAACTCATGAGTTAGTTTTCGTCAATGAGTGACAATGATAATGCTTATGGGTTTGTTGACGTGTTTGGGTGTTTGATTGATAAAGGCCTATCATAGCACGGTAAGTGTCCTCCATTGATTGTAGGCGTTCTTCTTGTTCGCTTAGGTCGCCGAGGTCGACATGGGGAAGAGTGTGACGTCTCCACCCAAAAAGGCTCAACCTTTTGACGGGGTCGTAAACACATCTACCATCACGGTCGCTCAATCACCTATAGGTATGCGTATGTGCAAACTGGACATTCTGGAGGAAAGAAACAACACAAATTGTAGGCTCTCACTTTCTGGAGGAATGTCGGCTTCAACACATGCATGCGCACACACACACACAAGTCGCTTTCCAGTCACTGCCAAGTGTGCCAGTCGTGACACAGGCGCCTGCCGCAGGGGCCAAAGCGCCCGCGCCTGCACAACGACACCCCTGCTATGGGGATCCTCAGGCGTGGATGCCATGGGGAAAAACCATGAGAACCAGAGGCTTCGTAGGAATGCTTCATGACGATAGGGGTGGTGGGACCAACCCACGACCCATTGAGGGTCTAACGGGATGCCTTTAGAACTCCATGCAAGAAAAGAAAGAATACACTCCCGAAAACTAACATAGACCCTGACTATGGCCCCCTGGAAGAGTGTTTTCCTCTACCAACCAGTGGTTTCCAGGGTCCATGTTAGTCTTCCAGGGTGTAGGTCATTCTTCCAAGTACGTTGCTCACCCGAAGATTGGTATGGAGCCTGAGGCCCTGGGGCCCGGCTCTCTCCGCAGTGTCCGGCGCAGTGTTCAGAGACTGCAGAAGGGGCTGCGGCGCGCGTGGTCGCCGCTTGGGGGCCGGCTCTCTCCGCAGTGTCCGGCGCAGTGTCCAGAGACTGCAGAAGTGCCTGCGGCGCGCGTGGTCGAGCTGGGGGCCCGGGACTACTGGTGCCAGTGGCATGCAGGTATAAACCTTCGGTTTTTTTTTCAGCGCCTGATGATTTCAAGAAGTGAGTTGAGTGGCAGGTACCTCTTCCATAGGATGACTTTGCATTTCGCCTCTCCCGCCGTGCCCTACTCATCCACTGTTCATAGCTCAGGAGCTCCAAGACCATCTCCCAGCATTCCCAGGCAGCAGCGCTGCCTCCAAGGCGGACGCCTTCGCCCTGCAATGGTCGGGCGAAAGAGGCAACTGGTGCTGGGGGCAGGCGTATGTGGTCGGTGGGTTCACACTGAGGGTGAAGTATGATGGCTGGACTTTGGATACGACCTTTGTTACAGCTTCTAAAGGTTACGTCCAGCAAACCAATCTTCCAATTCCCGCACAGGTGCCGATGGCGGCCGCTGGCTTTCAGGCCGCACAGAGCCTTGCGTTCTCGGGGGTGTCCATGAGAGTCTGCATAGGAGAAGCCAAATGGATGTGGCTGGCAGAATTCATCAGAATTGACAAATAAGTATTGTTTGAACTGGATTTAGTTATTATACCAGCCAGGAATAGAATTAATGTCAATCCTTTGATCATAGAATATGCATGAAAGACAAACAACGACCGAAGTCGGTACGAAACGACCGAAGCAACGAAACGAAGGCACGCGAAACGAAACGGGACAACGGACTGTGTTGCAACTCTGCGTTTCGGGGTTTCCGGTCGTCGGATGAAGCACCCTGTGAACGGTTGAGACCGCCCCGCAACCTGGGAAGGAGCGAAAGAGCAGACTAGTCAGCCGATTTAGCCATACCCTTAGAAGTCCGGCTTGACTATCTTTATAGGGATCCATTCGTACCTTCTTAATTAGAAGGTGAGCAGGGAGACAATTGATGTAGGTTTGGCGGACCCAAGTACCTTCTGAGAAGGTACGTGGATCCCTATGGGGTATATTTCGCACCACCGAAATCAAGGGGCATTTGCTTGAACAAGGGGGCCAGCGTTCGCACCAGAGCAAGTCCAACCTTGTCTTTTTGGGGCTCCAAACAAAGACCGTCCGGGCATAGAAGTCCCACCGGTGTCCAGATCCTGTGCAAACCGCTCATGCACCGAAGTGGTTGACCACCACTCCAGCACCACTTCTGATCGCTTCGTCGCGGTGTCCGGTCGCGTCGTCGCATCTCTCTCGCGACGATGGTTGCTTCCCCCCCAAAGCACTGGGGTGGCCACACGGTTTGGGGTTCCTTACGGTACGAGTGTTACGGCTTCCCCACCTCCGGACCCCTAGACCTCCAGACACACTGTTTGGGGTCTCTGGCGGATCGTCCAAGTAGTCGTCGTTAAGGATCGCACCTGATCCGTTTGGGAAAATGAGATCATGTCATGTCAATTGCACAGATTGGAATCTCTTCATGCGGTGCTGCTCCGTTGGGTTGAGTGGTCACGAACGGCACATGCTTGTTCTCCGACCCTGCAAGCTCCAAGTAGCAGGCTGTGGTGGCTGTCAATGTTTTAGCTGACCCGTGAAAACCTGATCGCGACACCATGAATAGATTGCTAAAGTGTTATTTTGTTGGATTTGCCACCAAAGACTAAAGATTGCTCAGAATTCAGTACGGAAATATCTAATAATTTACACCAGGATGTACCAGCACCACCCAAAGGGTGGTTTTGGGATGGAACATACATCTTCAGGGGGGTCTAGAAACCACCCTTTGGGTGGTGCTGGTATATGGATCTTTAAGTAGCCCAGGGTCTCTTTTCCTCCGGGATGGGGGTTTGGAGGCGCATCAGATGCATCGAGGACGAAATGGAGGGGCAAATCGATTGGAGGGGAGAGGAGTGTTGGAGCTGTTTATGGCTGCTTAACTAGCTGCTGCTCAGGAGGGAGCGACTGAGTTCGGAGCTAGGGAGAGTCCACCCAACCGTTGCTAGCTATTTTTCTTTGATCAGAAGGTATGTGCAGATGCAAGGTCGTGCAGGAAGACTTGTAGGAGCAGAGTGGTTCTTCCCTGCCCAAATAGACCTGTCCTCATGTATGTGTTATGTTTTGTCTTTGTTCTGTAGAACATGTTGTACGACAGTTGGAAATACAACAATTATGACTCATGACGGTTTCCCAAAATTGACTTGTGGAGAGTTGATCTTATCATCGGTGTTTCACTGGTATCTCCATACACCCACAGTCTTGCCATACGCGCATGCTGACAATTGGTCTTATCTTACCATTAATAACTGCGGGGTCAGATGGATGCGTGGTAGACAGAGTTTCTTCCACTCTTAATTAAACTTGAAAGATGCGAGAGGAGCCTCTGCTCAACGACATTCAAAAAATGTAGCCACACCATGCCAAGCCCGTTTAACCATTTTTGTTTGGTTTGAATGCACCAGCAGTATGGACTGGAACAGGACCTAGAGTTTGCTGAAGATTTGCAAGAGGGAGTTTCACCCTCACAAAAAACTCGACCAGTTCCATCAATTGGATCTTTGTGAAGGTAGTTCCAGACATGTGGATGTATCAGTTCGACTCCACTGGATCAACGGGTTTTGGAGGGTGTTTACACTCCCTGAACAAATAGCAATTTACAAAAACAAACAAAAACACACATGGAAGTTGTCATTCGGAAAATGGTCATCCATGAATATTTCAGAGTATATAGATGGTTTGTTTTTTGCCCTTTCACCAGGGAACCCTGATTGGAGTCCTTCCTTCCCTGCTCAACACATCACTCGGCACTTTGGCAGGAGGTGCTCCCTACGCGTATGATGGAGGCGGAACCGCGGAACTCGTCGAATGATTAGAGGCTTTGTTTAAACGACTTGAAAAGAGGTTAAACGGTACACTTCTGTTTGCAAAATATGAGTCAAGAAAATGTAGTACCTCTAACGAATTGCAACCAAGCTCCCTAGTTGATTGAACCAAAGAAAACGGCCGTGTATTCTACATTTAAAAGTCAGGCTTCTTGAAACACTTTTGCAGTGCGGCTGGTGTGTAGGCTGTGAGAACACAATCTCCCATAGTGCTCAACTTGCATGCTTGCGGACACAGGGGCCGTTTAACGAAGGTCCAGCAGCGGGGCTTCCACCTCCTTTGCCGCGGGAGGCACGCGCGCAGGAGAGGCGTGTCGGCCGGATGTTGAACGCGAGCTTCACTATGAGGTTGATGAAATGGTCGTGAGTACCTCTCCTGCAAGGTCGCATGTTAGAGTTCCAGGTTTCTCCAAGGTCTCCAAGGAGTTTCAGAGTCTCCATGTTGGTGTTTTTTTTTTGTTTGCATGTCCTTCTGTGGACCCTATTGTGAACTGCACGCAGTTAACATGGATGCTTTTTGGATCATAGGCACTAGTTAATGAACATCAACAGATATTCTCTTTAAGTTTCAAATATAAGTCTATATCATTCTTTCTATGTCACTGTCTCTTGGCCCCTCACCCTGAATAATTCCAGGTCGATCCACAAAGTCCTCGTGGTCCAACGCACGCGCGGTCTACCGTTCCTTCTCGGGGACGAATGGACGAATAGACGATCGCTGCCGTACTCCGTACTCCGTGTCGTGTGTCGTGTGTCGAACCTGTCCTAGCTCGGAAGAAGTCGGGGGAACGAAGTCGAACAGTTCGCCCCTGGCGAACACCCATGGGTGTTCATCGTGTTTGGGGCATCATCTGCAGAGGTCGGAGGTCGGGATCAAAACCCGTCTGCCTTTCGGAACCGCAAACCCACGTGGGTCGTTGGTCTTCGGAACATGGTCGAAACCACCACAGGAGCCCTTGGGAGGTCGGGATCGTCCGGATCACCGGACGGGACCGCAGGACCAGCCCTTGGGCCGCGAGCAGCCGCGCGTCTCCTCCAACGCCGCACGCTGAGCACGTGTCCAAACATGGGAAGGGTGGGGACATGGGCCCCAGCGCTAGCACTTGGTTTGTGCTCAAGCTGAGAAGGTTGCACAAGCATATCATGATGTGCGATCCCATTTTGGTGTACACTTGGGTTTTTGCAATCTAACACCATTTGATCATGAGGCTTACTTGTTTTTAGACAGCTCTTGGTGATTGGTGTGTGCTATCTAGGGGTACAAAGCCGGGTGCTGGATGTACCGTGATGACGGAGTCCTCCTTTTGAGGACTCGAAAGACATAAGAAGCCGATAGAAGCCGGGACTGGGGTGCCCGGAGGGTCTCAGGATCTTCTAAAAGAGAAGGTAGCACTAGAGACACCCTCCAGGGATGGTGTGCCTCCGCATCCATTGCTTTGACATCCACTGCTCCAGGCGTATGCGTGCGGCGGCAACCAGAACTGCGGCAACGTCATCACCGACCGGCGCTCGCGGGGGCGCCACAGAACACCGGGGAAGAGGAAACCGACATGGAACCAAAAGGATGGAATGGACCAGACTGGAAGACCATGAAATTCCTCTACAACCCAATGGTTTTCAGTTTCGTTTTTTTGGGGGCTCTTGACTACGGCGTAGTCTTCAGAAATCTGTGAGAATGAAGTCTGCTGTTTCACAGCCTCCTCGCAAACTGCATCCACTTCAGAATGATGGCCCACACTTGACGAATAGCATATACAATATCATACAATATCATGGAATATCATTTCCATGCCATTTCCATGCCTGAAGACCCACTTAGACCTGCCTAAGAGAACATGGCTGTTTTCGAGTGTCCCCAGGACGCGGGTGGCCCAACCGCCTGGTGGGAGCTCCTCGATTTGCTTCGGTTAAGGACCGACAGGAAGGTTAATGGCCTGAGAAAGGTCGACACCATGTGTTGCTGGGGGACGGCAGTTAGTGGTTGTTGGTGGACCATTTTTGGAGCCGTGGAGCGGTGTTTGGCGCTTCGACCGGGAGACCTTGGAGACCACGTGAAAAGAACCACGTTCGGTCGAGTACGTTCGGATGTTTCATGCTCATGTTAACAGAGGCAAGGAGGCAAAAACACGCTCTTCGAACCGAAGGAGCCCAACAACATCATTTGGACCACATCTATCAAAATGATTTGGGGTAGCCCAAGCACCCAAATTGTATAATATAGACTGATGCTGATGGAAGTCTACGACTGTATGACTGTCGTTATTTAAAAAACAAACAGAAACCATCGCATCCGAAGATCTCTTTAACTCGGAAGGACGGACCAAACCAGACTGATGGAAGGACTGAACTCTGGGGGGTCAAGATCAGCTAGCTAAGAAGCGCCGCTGCGAGCCGTTTTGGGAGCGACCGACCACCCCCGGATCACCCCCGGACCGCCGGAGTGTATCCATACATGGTACAGTATCCCTATAAAACATGAGTTTGACCTCTATTTTGGACCACCCACCACCCATGAAATACGGTCTTGTTTCCTATCAAAACAGAGGTCATGTCCGGGGTGCCCCCCTTTGCCTCACTAACATCCTTAGCCAGCTCAGTATAGGTCACCTGTTGCTCAGTCGCGAACATCATCCCTTGCCTTCCAAGAGAGGTTGAGAGACCATTTGGGACCCGAACTAGTGGTACATATGGGAAAGGCATGGATATTCAGGGCATCATAGGGCTACTCCACCTCTCTTTGCAGAACCCAAACATCGCTTTCGCCGAAAAAGAGGACATGGGGCTCAAAAAGCCCGATCCGATCCGAGCGATGACGCATGAACCGCGCTGCACAGCGCAGCAGCACGCTGGGATCCTGCAGATCGTCGCTTCAGGTTTTTCACTCATTTTCACTTCTCATGTGTAGGTATGAAAGTGCGCTGTGGGTTCTTGGATCTTTCAGAATTTGTGTTGAGTCTCTTCTCTTCCTCGCGTCCACATGAGACCTCCTAGTTCGACCCCCTGGAAGAAGGGAATTAGACCGAAACCATCCAAGAACCATTGGGCCAGGGCGTCTCCCTATTCAAATACACACCCACATCTCGAACAAACCGTTGGTTGTACTTTCCTCGGATCGGGTATCGCTGCCTGAAGCGTTTGGCGACGGCGACTACCCACGTGTGGTGAGCGATACCATGACGAATCCATGAAACGTGAATGGGTCAAATCCTGGAGCGTCCACCATGTGCCGCAAACGACCTTCTAGGTAGGTCAACCGGTCGGTCGGTCTGCTTTTGACCCACAGCCAAATGTCTTCAGCTTGAAGTTCATTCAACCCCACGTGGTCACGCGACTCTGAAAAGACCATTCGAGGATTCTTCTAAACAAACTATAAAGACCTTTAGAAAATGGGACACGACCGAGCTATTGTATATGCAATGATCTAATTTTTTGTACAGGTACTTTGAGACTCCAGGTTTGTAAGAAATAATGACATGTTTGGTTGATCCATGCCAAGGATGTCAGAGCAGCTTTCGTTCTGCAGATTCCAGCAGTAGTTCGTTTCGAGACGTTTCACGGCAGTCAATCAGCATCCTGCAGAGAGGCTTCAACTGGACTTGGGCTTGCGCGTTCTGCACAGACAAATTATGATGTTGTTTCTACACATAAAAGCCTCACATCCACAAGGCGACTGTGTTTGAGAGTTTGCATTGGTTCATGTCTATGGGGGTTCATCTCTAAGCCCATGAAGGGCCATTGTCCATGGGCACACAGCGTTTACTCAAGAAGACTATGATTTGAGTCCACACCGGCTGCAGGGAAGATGTTTGATGCGCTGCTTGGAATTGATGTGCCGAATACAACAGCAAGCATGCAGTGGAAAAAATGCACCTTCGCTTTGAAGAGAGTGCAAGTCAGCAAGGCTGATATTTGGTATTGTGCATGGACTGTCCTGCTTGCAAACTATGTCCACACTGTCCATGTGGGGTCCCACTCCCGGACAAGCCAGACATCTGTGATGTTTACGTTCACCAAGTTTTTCATCAATAGCTTACGTAGAATAAGTCTATGTATAGTGTATAGGTCTATAGACATATGTAGACTCCCCAAGAGATAGAAAAATAATGAACAATAAACATAAATAAACATGCGAATCCAATTCTTTTTGGACGCCGTTTATATTTTGGTGACCACTTTTTGTCGCATGAATTCCTGACGGTCCTGTATCGTGAGGGCTCTTTCCATGGCCGCCGTGTCTGACTGGGCCCCTTCAACGGTGGAAGCTTCTTCGTGTCCTGCGGCGCCAGGTGGTTGGGCACAGCCATCGGACAAGGCTATCGAACTGAGTGGTGGTGACCGGGGTGTCCTTGGTGAAGCCAAAGCCTCTCTGGAATCGGGTGTGCATGGAACTTGGAATCTCCTTGGTATTAGCGTGGTATTATGGTGGTATCGGTCCACGGAAATCGGGACCAGACTAATCGATGAAAAACACCTATCAGTCTATCTCACTGTCACGTTGCAAAGCACTGACTCCTGACTCCAGGGATCACAGTTTCTGCTATTGTTTTCTTTTGCACTTTATCCTTTTTGAGTGAGTGGCAGGGTGGTCTTTGGCTCCAAAAAAAAGAGCTTCAGCGTGGACTCTGGGACTCTCATGCCGTAAACCCCTTTCATCCCCGACCCACTACCTAGCTCAGCCATCACCTAGCTATAGCTGACTGCTAGAGCTGACCATCACGGTCCGGGCCCAGCTGGCCCAGCTCCCTTCATCCAAACTGGACGCTCCGTTGGTTTCTGGCCCGGTGAGGCAACCATCGCTTGTTCATGGCCTTGGTCGTGGTAGAGGCTTGGGCACCACGGGAGGACAAACATGAATGAACAACCTGCGAGTTCCATTCAAGTTCCTCTTAAAGTGGGTGCAAGATATGGTACTAATATGTATACTAATTGCCTATTCTTTGTAGGGTCATGGCTCATGTTCTTTTTCTTACCAACGAGATCGTCGCTTCCAGTCGCTTCCACGGTTGAGATCTTCGACGGTTTCTGAGTGAATCTCCTGCCCTGGGGATGAGCTCCGTCGATGGAGAAGGGTGAAGGGTGGCTTGGACCCATCCAGTCAGTCGCGGAGTTGAGAGGGTACCCGCAAGAACATGTTGGAGAGTTCTTCATATGTGTGACTGTATTGGTGATCATCCAAGAGAGAGTCCAACAAATTGAGAGTCCAACTGCTGGTTCTCATGGGCACGGTGCATGTTACAGACCAGTCTCCAATCTTGAAAATGATCTTTGCAAAACGCCTGGCTTGCAGGAGGTCTTTCTAAACTCTTGGAAGTTGGACTTATACCCTCAGAGTCAGGCTGTGCCAGTTTCGAGGAGTTTCCTTTTGGTTGGCACTCAAAGGCACTGGCGCTCGCGTGTGAACGAGTCGCCTTCCTCTTCCTCGACCACACCACAAGCAGCGCAGTGTTTGTTTCCTTCTTTGCGCGGTTCCTCGTCGACTGAGGTCACAGTGCAGCTGATTCACCTTGCCATGTGCTTCGCCTTTCTGCAGAATTCCGTCACCGGCGAGACGTGCGCCAGTGGCGCGCACGCGCACCGTTCTTCGACGTGTGGCCATTCTTCGGGTCGTCCGTGGTGACTGATGCGGGGGCGTGTTCAAGCTCGTTCGACTCGTTCGACTTGTTCTGATTGATTGGGATCTGAGAGTGGACGAGGGTGCGGAAATGAAAACGCAATCTGTCAATTGGACACTCTCAACACCTTGCAAATATTCACAAGATCTCACAAGTAGCCTTAGTGTCTGTGGGTGCTATGGATGCAAGGCCATGGATGAAGTGTAGAGTTTTGCAATGACCATGAAGAAATTTCACCCAGCCTCAAGTCTGTAAGTCAACATGTCAAGTGAAACTTTGGTCGCGGTTTTCCAAGGTCACTTACGGTAGGTGAGACCGAATTGAAGCAGAGAACTTTGGCAGAGTTAGGTTTTGCCTTGTCGGGGGTGTTGATCAGAAGGAAGGAAAAGGGAAGGGTTCAGGGATGGAATCCAAGTGGCTTTCGGTCAAAGCTTGAAGCCAAAGAAGGTGTGCATGAGCATGTTCAGGTATATTAACTGGTGGCAGTCGAGCCATATCAAAGCACAATGAGGTTTTCAGGAGCAGGTTGGACCGGGGTAGATAAATGACAGTCTATATAATCCTTCCATGTTCCGAGATTATCTCACACATCAATGGTGACCCAAAATCCTGTGGACTTCACATCCGGAGAAAGGAGTTGCGGTCAAAAGCTGAAGAATCATATAATTCTGATATGTGACCCAAAGATATGGGTTTGAAGATATGTTTGACATGTTGATACCCAAGACTAACATGGACCCTGAACACCACAAATTGGTAGAAAACAAACGTTTTTCAGGGTGCCATTCCCTGGGTCTATGTGCGAGAGTGTATCATGCCTAAAGATCTCAATATATTTATCAGTACGAACCTATGATCTACAAATATCAAATTTCCATGGATAATTATGGATATATCTCCATGTTTTTCACAACTCATCGATCCATATCGACCATCTCCCACACCTCCACCACCCATGTGGGGTCCTCCTCCAGATCGGTCAACGGCGCGCGAGCGAACCGGACGGTTTCCTCGTTAGTTCATCTCTGTTCGTTTGCCACAGTTCCGTCCAGATGACTAGGACCAGGGATGATTTCACAGGTGCGGCCATGAATCCTTGGACTTCCAAGAGGAGATGCCTAGGGTGTGAGACAGGCATGATTGAATGGACCAGATCAGAGGTTTGTCAGTCCCTAGCCCTAGCATCGATTGCAAATTGGTGATACTTCGTCCATAAACCACCTTCCATAAACAGGGTCAGACCTGGCTGGAAGCCCGAGCCCACTACTGTTTGGATCTCCAGCCATTTCAGCACACCAT